GTGCTGACTGTCGTGCTGACTGTCGTGCTGACTGTCGTGCTGACTGTCGTGCTGACTGTAGTGCTGACTGGCGTGCTGACCGTCGTGCTGACTGTGGTGCTGAGTGTAGTGCTGACTGTGGTGCTGACTGTCGTGCTGACTGTAGTGCTCAGTGCAGTGCTGACTATGGTGTTGTGTGTGTTGCTGACTGTGATGCTCATTGTAGTGCGGACTGTTGGGGTGCTGACTGTGGTGCAATATCTCATACAAGTCTAATTTGTTAAGTTCATTGTTAATCTTTGGTTTCTATACAAATACGACAAATCCCTCCAAACAACAGGGATTGTATCCTTTACCCTCGAAAAGCCCCTTCTTAATTTTCCGCTGGTTCATTTTCTTGCTGAGATAAAATGTCAATTGGAGACTTAATAAATTAATGATAAAATGCTCAAAAGAGATATGATGTTTAGTTCACCGACTTCCGTATATGACTCTCATAATGACTCTTTATGACTTGTGATAAAACGCTTTTTTAGCGCAGACTATCAGCATCAAGTCTATGTATGGTACCTTAAGGCCTCTTCAAAAATAATATTGGACGTCATAACCCCTTTTCTAAAATTATTACGACCTCGCATGTGCACGTCCGCCTTTTAATCACAAATGCGGATAAGAGACATCAACTTCGAGCAGGTCCCCCCTACCGGGCCCATTTCGCCCCAGTGTACAGCGTGGAGCGCAACCCCGCCTTCCCCAAGAACTTCCTCACAGTCGGGGACTGGACTGTCAAGCTTTGGTCTGAGGACTTCTACAGCTCGGCCATCCTCAGCACTCCTCCGTCCCCGGCAAAGGTTGTACGCTGGAAATTCAACTAAGCCGCCGCCATAGATATAAGGTGCCCATATATTGACGTCTTCGGCGCTTACATAGCCGAAATTGTACGCTGCAATTAGGATTGTGAATTTTCTGTACATAAACTGTGTGTCTTTGCAAAGAGGAGGTTATTGACTAGTGCAGTTTCGAGTACACTTTTCATGAAGCGACTACAGAGGAAAACCTATATAGTATATATATAATTATCTCAGTTCATCTCGTATATAATTATCTCAGTTCATCTTGGCGTTCACGCCTCCTGAATAATGGCTTCAAAATTATCGCCCTATACCGATAAACTAACAGATATTGGTACAAGTAAGGCTGACACTTTTTCTTGTGGTATTCAAGTGTTACACTACTGGATCATCACCTACACGTTTGATTTTGAATGAACTGAGTTAGCTAGGATTTTGCGTACGACGATGCCTAGCAGATATACGAGTTCTATCAATAGGTAGACTACATTTGAATATTTAGTCATTTCCTACATTCTTAAAATGAATTACAATTTCAAGCGCAATAGCTGTCGGCTGATGTATAAGATTCATAATTACCGTATATGTGTACAGTTTGTTCTCTTACCGCACCCTCTTACCGTGCAGTTGATGACGATACAGTTTGTTGACGTGCAGATCTCGTGCGCCACGTGGTCGCCCACCCGTTGCTCTGTGCTGCTCTCTGGTCGTATGGACGGCGTGGTCGACATCTGGGACATGCTTCATAGCTGGCGTAAACCACAGCACAGCTTGCAGGTGACAATAAAGCATCGATTATCTTCACAGAACATTGAAATGGCACAATCAAAATAAGTTTTTCAGTAGTGGCAAGAAATACTGCATTGATCTTCTTTCTCAGACTCTTTTCATCCCCAAAAGGTGATGGATTGTGGCGTGGAGAGCGTGAGCGCCCACGACAATGGAGAGCTCGTGGCCGTGGGGTCGAAGCAAGGCGCCCTTGCCATCCTAAAACTGCCGTCTAACCTCGCCCACTCTTTCCAAAAGGACGACAAAACTGACTTCTCAGCGGTACAGCGTGCACTGATTTCCTACCGGGCACTCTTTAGTTTGTTTTAGAATAGAATAGAACAGAAGTGTCGGCACTGAAGAAATAGGCCCATGGCCTGTTGCAGATTCTTGAATTTTTCGTGACTTGATTCACAAGGGATCCGGCCTTTGGAACCTGATCTTTCCATAACTGACGATTGATTGAGACATGCTGTGAGATTCTTAGAACTGGATACGATGTGTTAAATATGCGAGCACATTAAAATGATACGCGGGCACAATAAATGATGGACGAGCACGTTAAAATGATACACGAGCACATTAAAATTATATATATAACCACATTAAAATAATACACAAGCACATTAAAATGATGCACGCTCACATTAAAATGATACACGATCCCATTAATTTAAAGTTGAATCATGAGTTAGTGCGCTGTCGAAACCATATTTGAAATGTAAGCGTAGAGGTTTTCACCTCAACTCAACTTTTACGGACGCATCTGTATACCAATGTTTCTTCCTGGTGAGATTAGCGATCGTCTTACGAATTTCTGAGTGTCTAATTCTGGATTAAATACGAACTCCAGTTCTTGCAAATCGGCACATTCTGAATAATTTCAGCCCAGATTAAATTGTTCCTTTTTGTTATAGCCACTTCACTCCTGGGCAGTGACAGACAACTTTTTAAGTTTTATCTAAACCCACTGCATTTGTTGAAGACATTTGATCGCTTGACTCAACTTGCCTCCAAGTTTGTTCGAAATCAACCGGACTTTTTTCCTGAAATAAAGTAAATGTTTTCAAGACAAGCCTCACTCAGAATAAGATATCCTTCTTGTGAATTTAGAAGCATAAATTTACATTTGTATACTGATGTCATATTTTAGATATATTTGAAAGAGAATTTTTCGACTTGATGTTCCTTGATCGTCACCAGATCCTCGAACGAGAGACGAGGAGGGAGCGAGTACTAGAAAGCCGCCGTAAGGAGTCACGTCTCAAGAGTCGTGTTCGGGCACCGCAACCGCAGGACAGGAGCAACCAACACACGCCTCAAGATCGTATCAACATGGCCGAAGAGGCCTACTTCAAGGCCGTTGAAGAGGTGAACGAAACCATTAAATATATTGTAATTCTAACTTATTCATGTTTCGATCACTTGAACGTCGGAAACAATTGATTTCTTCCAATCCACTAAAATTAGTGGTAAAAGAGCAGCGTCAGTTTTTCAAAGAGACCAAAAATTAAGAAAAAACAAATAACCGTCGACATGCGCCAAGACGCTCGAAAAAGAGGTCTCTCACACGAGACGTCGCTGGCTTGCATGAGGCGGACAAAGATGGGAAATTGTGGATCGACTCGCGGCGTTCCCACAGCTGCTTCAGAACCGACGACAGAAGTTGAGCTGATGTCATCTGCGCTCACGAAACAATGCGAACAGCTGGAAGAGATACGAATCGTAATCTTGCGATCAAAAAGTTTTTAACAATAAATATTGCGCGGCAATTAATTAATACAGTATATTCAGATACAATATACTGTACTGGATCACAAAATATGCAAGCTATATAACTGTCAGAAAATCTTAACATAAGCCATAGTGACGTTGCCAACCCATCTTACGGCAGCACAGATAACACCTCCGAGGGCTACCGTGGCGTTAATTGAATCCGTTAATGCATCATAAGCGTGTGAAGTTGTTTAAATTTATCTCTCAAGACCTTAGGTGCTGACCCCTGTTTGTCCGCTTCGTGTTCTTTCCGCGACAACGAATCAGAACTGCATAGCTTTCACAAGTTTGGGTCGAAAGCTGCTGCTGCATCTTTCGTTTGTCTACAACCTTCTCGGTACCGCATTTATTTTGATACGGATCATTTCCTGCGAGTTCGTGTTTCGTGATATACACTGAGCGACATTAGCAAAATTTCTCAAGACCGTTACGAATCTTTCAACATTAATTTGTGCCTGCCGATTGTACGTCTTACAACTTGGATTTCAATTGCCCTTTTTGAATATTTTACATGGCGAGTTATACGCAAACAATTTTTGCATGCGACAAGAAAACTCGCGCAAGTTTAACGGTGTCGTTTGTTTGCAATTTCCTACATTTCAGTGCAGCCTGTTTGTGCGAGCACATTCCACAATTTTAGCTTGGTGGTTAGATAGGGTTGCACCAAATTGATATTACCTGTGACGTCGGTTTAACGTCAAGACAAGCTCACAATTGGGTTCCTAACTCTGGTTTACATGCAGCGCGTAGTGGATGCTTAGGATTTTCGTTGAGGAAATAGTTTAGATGCGGTTTTTAGCGCACTGAGTTATATTTTTTCAATTATTTTTCGTGATTTTTTCATCATCTTTCCGGAATGGTGTTGTCAAGTGTGTAACTCCAACTTTTCAGGCAAAAGCTGCCATGGAGGCTGAGGAAGCAGCAGAAGACGCAGAGCACAAGCAAGCTCTGCAGCTGCAAGAAGAGGACGAGGCAGTGGAGAGGATTCAGGAGGAGCGAGACGAAGATTTGGCGGTGAGTCACGTCAAACAAAGCGACGCAAACACTTGAATTCGATATAAATCCAACTGTAAGCGATATTCGACTTTCCAAAAAAAAAAAAAAAAAAACATTTCGAATTTCCCATATCTTCGCCAATGGACTAGTGGCCAACATGTTGGAACACTATCAATACGAATGACGATTCAAGATTGATGTAATAAAAGGCAAAAACGAGTGTAAAATATTTGATCTTTTCCGTTAGTAGCGGATGGAGAGGTTAGTCTATTTCGCTAGGTTACCTACCGTAACCGTAACAAGCGTGAATCATTGGGCTGATTTATATTCATAGCTAGTCGAATTCCAGACACAGCAGATACCTATTACTTTGCTTTACATGTGGATAAACTGTTACTTCGTACACATTTGAAAAATATGTGAAAAATCAAAAGTGGCTGTCATTCTCACAGCACAGTTGGCTGCTAATGGTATACCACTTCTTGCTGAAGTAGATCTTTTTCAACATAAACTGAACCAATCATCAGATTTCTTTCAACAAGCAAGTCACCCATCATTTTCCTTCGTCTTGCAGGCGCTTTCCCTCAGCGACCCTGCCAGCATCTCCAGCGGTGAGCCCGAACGGTAGGCGACTCTCGCTTGGAAGACAGCTGATGGCACAATCTTGTCTACCCAACAAGAGGTGGCGATATAAGCACATATCGAACCTATCCCGTACACAAGGATTCAAAAGATTTTATGCTAGAAGCAATTGAAAGAGTAACAAATTTTTGTTCGACCACTCAGAAGATCAGTGACGGAAGATTTTGTTGGGGGCTTCTCAATATTTTTCAAATTTCCACATATCCTGGAAACGCGCGAACAAAGTTGATACCAATTTTGATACGAGTTGTCTACATGATGCGTTTCTATTTATTTAACTACAACTTTAAAATCATCCATCACCTTCTCCGGGTGTGATTTTATAAATGTATTCGCGATATATTAAACAAGTTACAGGACTCGTACCTCCGTGTTTGCTGAGCCGCAAACAAATGCGAGGATCTGAAATTATTTACTAATGAACAGATAAGTCACTGTTAAGGTTTTATTCCGAATCGACCGATTGCACAAATGGAACGAGATTGCACGAAGTAGTAGAACTCACGCTTGCAATTTCAACTACGCACTCGAAATGCGCAGCAAAACGCATTTCAACTACGTCTACGCACTGCTCTCTAGAAGGGATGAGTGTACATGACTCATTCCATTTCCACTTTTTGGGCTAATAGAGTAAAAAGAATTTGCAAAAGCAATATTATTCTCAGGTACAGGCAATTTTATTCTCGACTCGACAGGTACTCCATAACTAATAGTTTTAAGCTAAGGAACTCAAGCTTAGACAAGAAAATTAATAGATAACTGGTTTATTTCTATGATCCGAACATTGGCTGCTACACGTAAAATAGCTTAAAGCAATAACAAACTGAGAGAAGAATAATTTTAGTATTGACATACCATTGGTAAAGGCGGTTTGAAATAATGCACAAGATGTACATGCAAAGGAAATTTTCCACTTTCGAATTTAAGGTCAAAATCCTGAAATTTACCAACATCAATGTTTTGCTCCTATTGAAATGAAGCAAGAATTTTATGAGATCTAACAGGACGAGTTCCCTTCACTGATGCAGTGAGTAGCTCACTTCACACACTCCACAGCTACTCCACAAATGAAAATAAAATATAAGTATCCCGCTAGAGGTCAATCATCCTTGAAGTAAATCAATGAATGAAACATAAACGGTCCCCGCAGGTCTGACTATCAACTTAAAAATAATAACCACTACTGGAGTTCAAATTTCGTCCGGTTAGCACAATGCATACGAGAAGTTGCCATCCGAGGCTGGGGTTCAGTGACTGGGCATGATGGTGACATAACGGGTATGAATACATGTACTGAATACATGTACATGTACAAGCATAGCAATGCCAAAAACGAAAATACAGCTTCCGATGAATTTAAAAAGAAAAAAGAAAACAATGTGTAGCAATAAAATGATGGGGAAATGAAAACAAAACTAAAAAAGGACGACAATAATAAAATGAAGTTGGGGACAGATATGAAGTGATGGATTAGTGACGCGGTCCTCCCCTGCCGCGTCCCCTTGGACCACCTCTACCTCTGGGCCCACCGCGCCCTCGGGGGCCACCGCGACCGCCACGGCCACGACCTGAACGCAAACACATATTATAGTCTAGCATTTTAAACGAACATTACATGCCCTATACTTTGCTCTTAGCCTTAACGTGATATTTGCTTATAATAACGAGTAATCACATATGAGAATGATATTTAATAATAATAACGAACATATTTTTGTACTTGCACTTTATAAATGAATATTACATTCATTTCCTGCCCTATACTTTGCTCTGATTGACTAAGTTCCCTTAACGTGATATGCGCTTATAACATACGAGTAGAACAATAATTTAATTATTAGGCCTTCATAATTTCAATTTCACATGAGAATGATAGCGATAAACATAACTTCTCTCTCGTCTCGTCACTTTGGTAAGAATAACACAACGAAACAGTCATAAAATAGCACCTCTCAAGCAACAATTTACTATGAAAACAGCACTTCTGAAGCTACAATTTATTCATCAAGTGCACCTCACCTCGTCCTCGGTCACCACGGCCCCTACGGGCGCGAGGTCCTTCATCTATAAGCAAGTTCTCCATGGGCAGGGCTTCTGGGAGGATGTAGTACCGGATGTTGTTGCCACGAATCGTCAAGGAGTCGTAGGTGAGAGGTTCTTGATTCTTAAGAGTCATTTTAACACTCTTCAAATGAGTGTTCATTGCAACATCGACACCTGAGGGACAAAATATGCTAGAGGTTTTTTCAGAGCGTTTATCATTTGTTTCAATGTTTAAGGAAATGATACTTCCCAAATGATCAATACTACCCCATTCATCAATACTTCTCAATTTGAGCCAACATCAGTTGTTAGGTCATCCTTAGTGTGAGCCAGTGCAAGTGCAATGAATAGTTGGTTCAAAAACTTAATCAATGCAGAAAAATACTGGCAAGAAATGAACAACTGATGTTAACATGCCACTAAATAACAAAGATGTTAGGAGTTCAATAGAATGCAACCAAGATTTTGAAAATGATTAATTTCTTTCTGATTTTATATGACTACCGTTAATTCAAAAATAGATGCAAAATAATCCAGGACTTTTGTATACATCATTCACTAGCATATATACCTAAAATAAATTTTACACGTAAAACTTCACACATTTTTCCTCAGGATAATAATATGCACAATCATAATTTTAGTACATGCAAAGAATCTTAAAGCGTAATACTGAGCACCATGTTTTTAGTTGGAGTGAGCGAATCCAAAGAGAAAACTTGGCTGAAGTAAGAGAATCTTTGAATGATGATCTTAACTCGCTAGTAACTTTCATTTAAGGCTCATTACTAACTTAATTTAGCTGGGAAATGTCATACCTGTGATGGTGCCCTGGACCTGAGTTCCATTCTTCAGTTCAATCGTCACAGTCTCATGACTGAGCTTCATCAAAAATCTGCAGCAGAAGAAGGAAATAAATTGGAGTCAAACATAAAAAAAAAACTGCATATTAGGATGCTTGTGTAAAAAAGATTATTTATATGAATTTAGCATTATAGAAATGCAACAAAATTACATATTCTAATTGCTGCACACTATTAATAGGCTCAAAAACTTTCTGACTACCTCATCTTTGGGAGGCAGAACTTTCTGACTACCTCATCTTTAGGAGGCAGAACTTTCTGACAACCTCATCTTTGGGATGCAAAACTTTCTGACTACCTCATCTTTGGAAGGCAGAACTTTTTGACTGGCTCATCTTTGGGAGGCAGAACTTTCTGACTAGCTCATTTTTTCAATCTTGACAACACAATAGACAAACTCTGCATAGGATGACTTCAGGGTTGATCAAGATCATGAGCTCATAAATAACGTGTTGCAAAAAAAATTTAAATCTCACTGAAGCTCAATACCGTAAAATGGGGTAACTTAGACCGGCGGGGTAACTAAGACCACTTTTCGTTTTTTTAACAAAAACCCCCAAAACTCAAAAACTATTTGACATAGAAAAATTTTGTCAATGGGCATTAAAGGCCTAATACTGAGGCTACATAACACAATAGAAAGATGTAAAAATTTTGCATATCTAATAGGTTAAAAAATTAAAAATGTGACCCACAAAAAAAAGCGATTATTTAACCCATTAATGCCGAGCGGTTCCATTTGGAACCAGCGGAAAGAAATTGATTCATAATAAAATTGTATGGTCAAATCAATATACTAGTGGATGCGTAGGTTTTATACACATCTTGGACGTGTTCTGTCAACGTTTGGTTCAGCTGCGCCGACTACTCCCTGCTCAGTTAACATTTAAAGATTGTAAGTACCGGGTGTCAGACAGAAGGGCTTGACATCATTGCAGAGAAACGTAAGTAGTTCGTTCTAAAAATATATTATTTATAAGTTAGTTGCAGAATTTTATCGACAAAGATAGTACTTTTAATGCTGTATATGGTATTACGTGATTTAATGTTTCTAAAGTCATTTAGATCATGATATATTTTGCCTGGTTCCAAATGGAACCGCTCGGCAGTAGTGTAAGCATTCCGGTCATATCATTTTCCCAGTAGATTACTTTGTGATATAGTTACGCATTGTATTTAAAAAACTTGTTTGTATTTAGAAATTATTTGTTTAGATCTTAGATCTAGTTTTTCCATTATTTATTAGTGAACTATTATCTTTAGAGCTGTTAGGAGTATATATATCCTGAAAGTTGATATATTTGGAATTAGGTACGTACGTAGAACACTATGCGATTTTTCATCCGAGTCACTTTTTTCTAGTTGTATTTTTGGCAGATCATCACATGAAATAATTAAGATTTCGAGAGAAGAATAACACGAAGATCAAATATATGCGACTGAACCTTTCACAGAAGCAGCAACAAAGGAAACATACTGAGATTCAGATAACTCAGATGACGCAGCCACTAGCAATTCTGCTCGCTTATCGAGAATAGTCATTGTAGCAACAGTAATCGCCAAATGTGAAAACAATGACTATCAACAGAGAAGAAAGTCATCTGTGGTCGACATGGCCACATTATACTACGACATATACGTGGCTAGCCCGTGAGATTTAGTTATAAACTTTGGGCAGCAGATAAATAGGATGATATTTTTCTGCTATTGAAGCCAATCGGCGGATCTAAAAGAAAAAGAAACTTATTCATGGGCTGGAACATGGATTGGTCCCATAAACACGATACAATTGGTCCCAAGCTAACATATTATATGTGATATCTATTCTGGTTTCATTTGGCTTCTCAAAAAACTTTTGAAAAAAAAGAATGGCTATTGCAATAAATTTTCAGAAGCATTCTGTGCTAAAAATTGAATTGTATTCTGCCATGATTGGTTTATCATCAGTATTGTCCATTATGAATACGTATACTATTACGTATTATCCATTATGAACAACCTTGCTTGATTTACTATCGGAAAAAGTGTTGTTTGAAGAAACGTTATGTTAATGCCGAGCGGTTCCATATGGAACCAAGCTATAATTTTTCACATACAACGAAAAATAAATATATGAACATACTTTTTGTTTATTACCATCACAAATGATAATATTCTCACAAGGAACCGAAAAAAAATTCAGAAAATAATTCTCGTCATTAATGGGTTAAAGCCTGTCAGAGTACCCCTCCAATTTTTTTATTTTTTGGTTAAATAACTCAGGTTTTGATGCATTGTAGTAGAACTCTCCTAGTTACATATGCAAATGATAAATTTTAGGAAAGTGTCATAGTTTGCAAATGGGGGGTGCTGCCCCCAAATGGGGGAACTTAGACCACCTAATGTCAGCCCTGACGGGGTAACATAGACCGGCTTGGAAGTTAATATAAACTTACCATATATAACATATTTTATGTTTGACAGCCTATTTATGTTTTTTCTTTATGTTTCAGACTCTACAGAGTCTTATATATGGTAATTTTAACTTAATTTCCAAGCCAGTCAATATTTACCCCGTCGGGCTGCCATTAGGTAGTCCAATTTCCTCCATTATGGGGTGGCGCCCCCATTTGCAAACTATGACACTTTCCTCAAGTTTGTCATTTGCATATGTAACTAGAAGAGTTCTACTACAATGCACCAAAACCTGCAGTTATTTGGAGTCATTTTACCAAATAGGGTAAACGCGGTATATTCCGACATCGTAGGTAATTCCGTCACTTCTCTAGTTTTTCCTTTATATTAAGCTTTGTTTTAGTTCCATGCGTTCATTGATGGTTGAAATGGTGACGTCATACATTTGCGTGTCGAAATACTGCAAAACCACTAGGTCTTGGCCATCTAGCGGGAAAATATTGAGATCCAAAGAGAGACAATGAGTAGCGGCCGCTAGTAGCGGCCGCTACATGTAGCGCGCTACTGCCCACCTCTGAGTATAGACCTGTATTTTGCACGTTTCAATTCAAGTTTAATTTAGCTAGTAAAAAAATTGCATCATTTATAAAAAAAGTGGTCTAAGTTACCCTATTTTACAGTACTCACTGTGCAAAGTTTGGCAATTGTTTCACAATGTTCAGGACTTTAGGCGCAATGTGCTGTCAGTACTATTCACGATTTCAAGATTTAAAGCCAAAAATACATGTTAGAGATTTAAAGAGAAATGCGTTGGCAAGATCATCTGAACTTGAAGACAGTTTTAGATGCTGATATATCACCAAGAAGCTTCAGATAATCATATGCTGACTCTGAGCACTTCAGAAGTTCAGTTCAATACTAGCCTAGGTAGCCAGAAATTGTTGAGCTTTTTTGTCAAAGTTCTCATATAGTTGCAGACTTCAGTATGGAATTCTGTATAGGTAATATATTATCATGTTAACATAATAAAATGTATCGAAAACTTACCACCTTACACCAAAGTGACAATTGATACTCATTACACTGAGCTCGTCAGATCAGAAACTGCGGACACCCGGACAGCCGCGCTTCCTTTATCTCGCTTGCGTGTGGTTCAAAAACTGATAAAAAGCTGTCTCTTATACACATCTAGATGTGTATAAGAGACAGGTCACATTTCCCTCATTATGGGGTGGCGCCCCCCNAATAATATATGAACTGTAAATTTTAGAATTCCATCCTGGTTGCAGTCCCATCAGATAGCTCACCAACAGGCTAACAGCCATAGTGGCAAACCAGAGCTTTTTTGGAATCAGTTCATTTTTAATTTCCTCAATAACTCAAGATTGAAACCAATTTATTAAGTATGCGTATCTATGATACTTTATTGGTCTACTTATAAGACTCAAAAATGAACTTGAGAGAGTCTAAAAAACTCTCTGCTTTGTCACTATGCCAACAGCAAACATTCTTGCAATATTAGGTAATAGGTAGGCATAATTTCCCAAAATTACTGGTACAAATGATTTTTCACATGTGATTTTTAAAAATCAAGGATAAAAATAGGTAGCTACCTATGCCATTATTAGCTACTCATGAAAGAAATTAGGGAAATGCCATAAAAAACTGATGAAATTGCCCATTAGCCCAGGGCATTTTTGTTTCATGCACATGCACAAGACATAAAGAGAAGTAATGAACAAAATTATTTTAAAATACTATAATTTTGAATCCAAAGTTTTATAAAATATGTAGCTAGGCCCTAGGTAGCAAGGTAGGTAGGTAAATTTTTGAAATTCCGTTATCAAAAAATATTTAAACTTGCTCAATACTATGAAAAAAGTCAACAAACAGCAATGTTGAATCCCTTTTGCATTAAATTGCTTACTTATAATTAACTTAAAGTTAATAAATTATAAACCCGGTAAAGTTAGAATTTCTTGTCACACAGACTCCCAGTCATCAAATCCCACGTGAATCTCAATTATTATTTTCTAGATAAAAAATGAATTTCTCACGAAGTATTTCAAAACCATAAATTCCTTGTTCGATACAACACATAAAAAATGTCTTTTTTAATACTATTGATATACTTACACGACTAATTTCATGGTTGCTTTATTTGCAAACGTTTGATTATTGTGCGACTCCAAACGGAATGCCGGTAGTTTGCCCCGCAACTTGAAGCAAAGTAACACGCGATTCTAGCGTTTTTATCTGAAACCTGTGGAAACAATACAATAACTAAGTTCACATTTAATTTATTGATTTTCCGATTTTTTGTTAATAGAGAGATTTAACGAAAAAAATTTAAACGATATGAATTTAGTCTTTTTAAAAATTATTGTTTTTTTATTTCCGATATGGAACCGTTGATTTTTCTAAAACCTTGAGGTTTAGCAATGCCTTTATATAGTTTTATGGAAACATATAGAGAAATATGATTCCAATAAGATTTTATAGGTTCATTTAACTCCCACTAGTATCACCTTCGTCTTGTTGATGTTGGTTATGATGATGAATCCGTTCAGTCTTGAAATGCCTAGTACCTTTCGGAACTTGTAATAAGTCCAACAGTTATCTCTAATAATTGTGAGTTATAGAATAGAATAGAAGTGTCGGCATTGAAGAAATACCCACATGGCATGTTGCCTATTCTTGTACTTTTCGCGACTTGATTCCACATGGGATCCGGCCTTTTGAATGCGATCTTTCCATAACTGACGATTGATTGAGATAGCTGCTAGACTTATTGCAAGGCCCGTACGGTGCTAGGCATTTCAAGACTGGACATATGTTCCTGCATAGCTTCGTCTGGTCTGTTCTTGAAAGCGTTCATACTCGGTGCGTTAAACGATGCTATCAGAGAGGCTGTTCCACATGTCAGTGACTCGAAGCGAGAAGAAATGTTGTCGCAGGGATGTGTTACAACGCAGTTTCTTTAGTTGCCGTGGCCCTGTTGTTGATTCTTGTTTCATATTCTAGTAATCCTTCTGGGTCCTCGTATAAACCGAGGGTATACTTGTATACTTCAATGAGGTCACCACGCAGACGTCGATAACCGGGATATGAACTATTCCATAACCTAGAAACTGGACCAAGAGGCATCTGTGTGTATATATCAAAGGATTTCAAGCCGGTGCTGTGTGAGGATATAAGCGGAAACGTTGAAGAGGTTATTCTTGTGGAATGTAAGAGAGCAAATGGCGAGCCCTTTATCCTGGGCCTTGTAGGTGTTAAAGCCCAAGTTCCAGTTATCAAGCAACAGGGATACTAGAGGCCACTCTCTGAAGCTCGCAAAAGGCAGATGCCGACTCAGCGTAAGGAGCAACTTCTTTTCACAGCGAGTAATTAACTCATGGAATAGTCTGCCAGAGTCAGTCGTAACAGCACCAACTGTAAACAGCTTCAAGAGCAGGTTTGACAGTTTCTGGAGGGACAACCCGGCCCTGTATAGCCCTTCATGCTACGAGTGATGAGGCTTCAATCATCTTGGAACAGACACTGCGACGGGCGCGGTGCTGATAAAAATTGTTGTCGACCGATGAACAGGACCGTCAGGGACCTTAAATCGTATTGTCAAAGTCAAAGTCAAAGTCATAACAGAGGCTTGGATGCTTCAAAATCTTTATCCTTTCTCTATAAGGCTTCATTCTTTTAGAATGGAATGGAATAGAAGTATCGGCATTGAAGAAATAGGCCCATGGCCCGTTGCCGATTCTTGTACTTTTTGTGACTTGATTTACAAGGGATCCAGCCTTTGCAACCCGATCTTTCCATAACTGACGATTGATTGAGATAGCTGCCGGAGTTATTGTCATTAGACACATGACTCGAACGATTAATCTTAAAACTTTCTAAAAAGTTTATTCGAACGCGCGCTTCTTCAGTTAATATACAGGGCCTCGGACACATTTGGATGAAAATAAAATAAGGCAATTTTAACAGCCTTGTATTACACCACACAAATATTGGCTGCGAAAAAGGGTAGCGCAATGCGGATGCCATAAGAGTATCACCTTCGTCACCTTGCCTGACAGGAGAGAGAAATCCCAAAACTAGAATGAAACTGTCTCGTTTGGTTACTGAATAAAGTTCTGGTCAAGATAAGATGACTGATATTTCCCTCCAGGTTGTATCGTTATAGTTACTTCAGTTTATCTCACTGTAACATGTTTCACATCGTTTAGTCAGTAATGCTTTACGCTGCAAGCGAGTGGATTATTGCCTGCATCATGTCAATAGTAACACTGAACTAATCCACTATTTAATATTTATTTTCACATTTATAATCATTTTAAAAATAATTAATTCAAATAATCATCTGATCCTTAAGCATAGTTCTACAGCGAGCTTCACGACACGAGGAGATTCTAAATCCTAGAAAATGCAGCTCAGCAGGCAGCGTTCGGGACTTGAACCTCCTGAATTTCCGTGAGTTTTTGTTATTTTATTTCATGTTGGTGTCATTTCATTTAATCGATATTCCATTTCGTTTGCATCTTTTTATTTTATTCTCCGTGTAATACCTTTATGCATTTTGTATGCATTGCTATATTATTGTAATTAACAGCTGGAGAAGACGAGTAAAATGGCGCGGGAAAATGGTTTATCCCTAACTTGGTTCTATGACGGATTGTTTCTACTTTATTTCACTTGATAGAGTTGCCGAATCTCATGGTTAAGTTTCTAAAGTGACAGAAGTTTAGAAAGAAATGTCGATGGCACCGAAGCAACAGGAATAACTGATTTTGTTGCAGTGTTAGCTAATTCAACAAAAAGTGTATATTAAAGGAATGGATCAATTCGATAAAAAATTACAAGAGGTGAGAATAGTTTCTTAATTCTAATATCGTTTCGTTCATATACGAAGAAATCTGTTGACTGATATTCAAAACGTTAAAATATTCAATTTTTTTATAATGATTATTAGATGTTTTGGTAACTAAATTTTGAATCACTGTTAAATAGATACGAAGAAATTACTACGTTACATCGCAAGCCGTGAGGTCTTCCTGTGTTTTTGAACCTCTTGTCTTGAATCTCGAAGCGAGTAATATCGTCGTTTTCGACGCGGAAATTCTAATGTTGAATTACTCATCCTCTTCATGTTGTATCTGTAATCTACGTTCTATAATCAATTCAAATATCTTCCATAGAATATAAATGAAATTAATTTGATGTAACATATGAATGAGAGGATCCGATGTTCTACCCATCCGATGTAATTTGAATGTCGTTTCCATATGATCGTCAAGGTGCTGCAGCAAAGAATCACAAATTAAACTCTTTTAAACTGGCCCGGGAGCCAACGCCTAGCGTCAGCATGCATTTGCTGATGCTGAACTCAACCCCAGCTCTAATAAAACGCAAACACGCTATATCGCCGTCAGTAAGAACACTTCCGCGCTAAACTGGCCTGCTCTTTGTCGCACTGCACGAAATGAAATAGTGCCTTCCCAAGTTCCCACCATAAAATTATTGTGGGATGTTTGAGCAACATCCGTTCATAATAGTAAACTCTCGGAGATGGAGCATAATGATTAACTAACCGTAGAACTCGAGAGAAGTTCGTGACACTCATGGTGGGTGTTTGGCAGAGGGCATGACCATCGACCGGAGAGGAGGGCAAAATCTATAAAAAAGATGCAAACGTCTTGATGACGAACGTCATGATTTGGAGGAAGTAACCATTGCATGAGCAAAAAATTCGGTGATTCGGTGATGTAACCATAACATAGGTAAAAAAATGAACACCGCGAATATGTCGATATGGTTAATAACTAGGACGCTGCATGGATTGCTGATAAAAATAAAACGTTAGAAGTAAAAAAATCAATTAAGTGCATATAATATAAATATCATTCTATCGTGATGATTTTACCTACATGGTGTTACCTACAATTTACATGTGCGTCACTTGAACTCATGTAAATTTTATAATGAATAAAATGCGTTTCATTGGCAACATAATTTCATAAATTCTATAAAATTGTCATAATTTGATATCTCACGTATAAATTTAATGGTAGAAATTACAAAACTGTATTCTCTAATCACGGATGAAACTCTGAATTAGGCGCCTTGTTAACAAATATTTTCTAGCTTCCTCCATATGTGAACAAATGAAAGTTGTTTCACTTAGGCAATCTAATAGATCAAATGTCAGACGTTGAGTACTAAATTGTTTTCGTGAACTTCTCAAGAGAGATTGAATCGTACAAATTTAATTCAAGTTTTCAAATCATATATTGTTGCTTGAACTGTTTGTTTGGGTCAGTTCGTCTATTATTCCCATCCGACATTTGCTGCACTGGGCGACCTAGTATTCACTAGGATTTGATGTAGCTATATATATAGGTTCAAATACTCAATTTAGGCTGTTCACCAGCTCCTAGTAAATTTTTTCTAGCCATTATGCACTTAAAAAGTTATCAGACCGCCCATAGCATGCCCCAGGCCCTGTAAATGGCCTAAAAAATTTGGCAAGCTACTCTAACTCTTCAAAACTTGAAGCTAAATTCTCAGATAAAATTTTGTATTAACTACTAGAAGTTCTACCTGAACATTGAAAGAAGTTATTATCATGGAGTACGATCTAGACTCTAATGGAGGACTCATGAATGTGAGTATTATGGTTCAAATTGAAAATTTTAATGCTAAATAACCATGCTGACTGGCAGACTTGGGCAAGTTTTAAAATCTTCCACTTTCACAATCTTTGAAAGTTCAAAGTAGCTAACTCAGTGATAGTGGCAAAGCAGAGGGTTTTTTAGACTCTCCCTCAAGTTCATTTTTGAGTCCTATTAGTAGACCAGTAAAGTATCCTGGATACCAGCATTATCACACTTAAGAAATTGTTTTAAATCTTGAGTAAATGAGGAAATTAAAAATGAACTGAGTCTAAAAAAGGCCTGGTTTGCCACTATGTAACTCACATTGCACATTTTCACTCTATATCTTTAATTATTATTAGTATATTGAATTTTGTTGTCTCATACTCAATACTTTTTTATAAAATCTTGGTAGGATTTGAGATTTTTATAATAATAGCCTACTAATGGCTTTAATTAAAAAATGATGTCCAAGTTTCTAACTAGGTAGGTAGTATGAATAAAGTAAGAAAGAAATAAAAAAATGAATTTTTTAACTTTAAAAAATCTATATAATATATTATCTCCTATAATAATTTTTTTCTATTGAGAAATTTCTTGCTATAAAATTTAAGCATTTAGGTACTGTTATTATTTATAAAGTATAAGTTGATAAGAAGTTAAGAACTCTAATGATACACTTTTAAATTTTCCCTAATAGAGCTAGGGTAAACGCGGTATATTCCGACATCGTAGGTAATTCCGTCACCTCTCAATAGGAAGAATATTATGGTTTGAGACTTTTAAATACGTCTGTGAATATATTAGGAATCCTTTAAGTATACTTGTATTTGCTGATTTCAAGTCATAAATAAATTAATAGATGATTAAGTTGAGATGTTGGATTTTGACACATGAAAACTAATTCCGACACAACTTGAATTTGACACACACAGATCGTTCAAAGCTTTGTACAAAAATTGAAATTTGCTTAATTAAAAGCCTAATAGCTGTTAATTAAAATGTAATTAAGTAGTGTTCAATATTCGTTAGTGTTCTAATTCAAAGCCGTGTTGTATCCCAATACAGCTCACACAGCAAACGGAATTCGAACACGTGGATGTCAGCAATACATAGTTAAATTTGAAGCGCTGACGCAATACGACTCACCACGTGTCGGATGTTGCCACACAAAGTGACGGAATATAGGGATTTGGTAGGTTTCCATTCTAAAGGCTTTTTAATAAATATGGCAACATTTTGTGACGTTTCATTGTTGCTGACGCGTAGTGAAGTGTTTTGAGAGTCACGTGAAGGCAACAGAACTTACCTAACGCATACGTTTTTTTTTATAGTTTTTCATTTCTCGATGCGTCCTTAATGTGTCGGAATATACGTGTTTACCCTACATGATAAACATTGCTCATAATATTTTTTATCTTACTGTCAATAAGCATGCATAATTCAAAGTTTTACTAAAAAGTATTTTTTTATTAAGCAAGCAAGATGTTGGAAATTTGTTTAACATTTTTACATTTTTGTTTAATTCTGGAAAATATTCCAGATTGACATTTGACTTCATTCTATTGATGTGTATGAAATCATTGAATAAATTAAATTATTGTGAAACTTTGAAAAAGAACTTAGAATATACTATAACTTTCTCATTCATAATTATGTAAAGAAATAATAATTATATTAATTTACGTACAATTTGAAAATTCATGCTTATTACCAAAAACCTACCTACTACTCCAAAGTCATGGCAAAGTGGCACTTCTGAAAACTTTTAAATCTTGATCTTACATATTTATTACCAATTAGATTTAAAATAATTTGTCTAGGAGGAATTTTGGGTCTCCAGAAAAAAAGCTCCAGAAAAGCAAATATTTTCCATGCCTGAATTTATGGACTAAATTTCATAAAATTTTGTATCACCAGGCCTTACTCAACATGTAATTTATCTACCATATGTGCCATGACTACAGCTTTTTCAAAATTTTTGAAGCTGCAAGATTTCCACTAGATGAGTTAATAACTATCTACTTGTTGAGAAAAGTGAATTAATAACCATCTAATTGTTGAGAAAAGTGCACAATCAGGCAGCAAAATTTAAAATTAAATGTATTGGAATATATTAATTTGGAGCTATAATATAAGAAGGAAAGTTTCAATCATGGGCCTCATAACTGGATTGCTACTTTCTGCAGGCAAAGAGGAGAATTTGGGAGTAACAGCAAATAACTTTGAACTTCAGTACAATTTAAGTCTTTCTATTACCCAGGGCAAATGAAAAAAAAACTGGTTCTATTTTTCTTTCCAGATAGTCATGCCTTCTAATGGGCTCATCATAGCCAAACACTTTGACCTTTGTTTGCCATGGAGAAGTTGCTATTTTAATACTTCGAAACATGAAAATTTGAAATAAAATGAAGAATTAAAATACACAATAAATACAAAATCAATTTGAGACCTGAATGAAATATTTGATTCCAATCTAAACTGGAAAATTTGAAGGAGCCAAAACTACTCATGCTTGGGAAAATTTAACTTATGCCTGTGGCTCATGACTAATCTCCACCTTGAAATTAAGTAAAAAGAATTTATTTTAATGCAAGAGGCATAGTTGGAAACAACTTGTAGAATGATTGTTTTCAGCCACAATTTTCAAGAGTGATCAGCCTCATTTCCTCGCTTAGCCAAGATTATCCATAATATTTGAATATTCACAAAGTACAGCAATCCCTTGATTAACGCTGTTAATAAATTTCTGAGTTTTACCGTGCTAAGCAAAACCACGCTAATCAAACTTAAGAATATATGGGAATAATTATAATGAATCCTCAAAAATAGCAAAGTTACATAATAAATTTTTTTTCCACTAAAATTCATCATATTTTTTTTCTAAATAATAGGGGAAATAAATGAAAGAAATGCAAATGAATTAACATTTATTTTTTACTGAAAAATGAATAATTTAAAGAATTATTGGCTGAAATTCATAAAGTAACCACATTTGACGAATTTTTCCAAAAGTCGTAACAAAAGTAACAACATAAGATCTAATAAGCAAAAGGGAACACTTTTGTTACGAACGTAACACCTCTGGCTAGAGGCGGGAAAATGATGCATTGTGAAAAAAAGTTGCGCTAATCAAAACTGGCACCGCGTAGATTAAGATTAGGTCTCAAATTTTTTTTCCGCATTAATCAAAACCACGGTATTCAAAACCGTGCTAATCAAGGGATTGCTGTATTATCAATGATATCTGATATCTTTATGTTAGATTTGTTTATGCAAGCCATTATTAAATAATTTATACATATTTCATGTGCCATTCAACAATATGCAAACTAAAACAAAGGAATAAATATGTAACACTTTCACCTTCCTGTAAATTCATTACACCTGATCACTTTCAACAAATGTAAGCTCCCTGACTTGGAAGGATTTTAGAATCATTTGCATTGAACAATGCAATAAGAAATTAATTCTCATCTTTTGCATTGATTACAATATTAACAGAATTTTTCCAAGGAGTATATCAATTATTCATCCTCTGAAATGCAGTGTGATAATTTCAATAAGTGGAATAATAAGCATTGAAATATCAGTACAATTTTGCTATAAAAACACAAATATAGTCCATGCAGAAATTTGCAATGTGGCCAACAAATGTGACATGTGAGAATATTGATAAAAAAATCTGCTAGGAAGCTATCCACACCAAATGATCAAATAGAAAATAAACTCTAGTTGTGAATACATACAACCTACGCTTTCTTCTCTAATCAGTCAGTTGTGACTTGCAGATATAAAAATATCAAACATATATCCAAGATCTTGCTTTTCAGTAAAAAACCTTTTTGATGAAATTTCAAATTATGCAGTCTTATTGAGTTTGATACAATATATTGTGTGAAATATTAATCATACAGTTCCATGAATCCAGGTTTTGCTTCATTGGCAAATTTTAGCTCCACTCAAAGCTCTCTTTATGAGATCCCATTACCTTTCTTATGGATTGGAAGAACTAATTTGGTTTCTCTTGACTTTGGTCCATTTAGTCATTTCCAATTTGTGAATTCAATTCAAATTAATTCTTTCAAATGAATTTTTTATTTATGCTGCATTTATATAGATAGTTTTAAATTAAAAATTCTTTTTTTAAAATATGAGTTAGTGTTGACTCTTTACAAATGCAAGCTATATAACCAAAATCATTTACCAAAACCTTGCATCTTAAACTGACACTTTTTCTTCTGTGTTGTTGATGGGATATTGTACATTACTATATCATACTTTTGATGAACGCTTGCAAGTGCTAGCTTTATGTATGAATTTTTTTTCTATTGCCACCTGCATTTATGTTATAAAAATAAATTGTATCTATAGTGACTGTAAACTTCCCTGTAATAATGTTTAACTTTATCCTTTTTATTAATTTCCAGCAAATTCTGGCATTGACTGCTGCTCCTGGAAGTAGAGATCGGTCAGACTCTGCCAATGGTCAAAGCAATGTTCCCGAGTTAGCGTCAAGTCTCTCAGCTCACCCATATTTCAAGCGACCTGGTAGAGGCCACAACAGAGACTGCTGTGATGCCTGCGGAGAAGGAGGAGATCTCATCTGCTGTGACATTTGCCCTGCTTCCTTTCATCTCATTTGCCAGTGAGTATGAATGTCTCTTTAAGTTGTTGGCAATTTTAGCGTTTAAATGTTTTGGTTTAATGCTAAAATTCTTTCCTATTTGTTTTTATTTTCACACCAGAATGATGATTTTAATGCAATGAGTGGGTGTTTGGTTTGTGTTTTGCTGTGAAGTTAGGATTCTACTATTTGTGGAATCAATAAATCCATAGTGAATTGCATAACAGTCTCAAAAAGAGTGGTATCAAATTCTCTGAAATATTGTATCTTACTTTCATGCAATTTGTTTAACTATCACAGATATATATCACTCCTTCATTCTTATTTTGTAGTGATCCACCACTGTATGAAGAAGACATCCCATTGGGAGAATGGGGCTGCTTCCAGTGTCAGGTGACCAATGTAAGTATTTTGCAAGCACGTAGTGCTTCACTAGGCTGAGTAGAACAAGCAATGGGGCCTTGGGCTTGTGTTTAAGTTGATGAGGCAAGCAGCTGGCATAACCGCATGTGAATCAAGTTGGATTATAATAAATCTTACTAAATGTCTGCAGGTGCTTCATTGCATTCATGTTCTCTTGATGTGTGGGTAGTTGAATTAGGGAAATAAGTTTTGTGTAAAAATTCCATGATATGAGTCAAAAATTAATTAAGTTAAAGTTGTTTTGTAGAATATTCAGTTTCAAATGTTAATACTCATTTAGATGCATGATGGTTGAAAAAAATTCAAATTATTTTGTTAGTATTAATTTTGATGTAAACATTGATAATTTTACTATCTTACTTCTTCATTGCTATTTAAATTACTAAGGAGGATAACATATTATGCATTTAAATGCTGTGCACAATAATGTCATGTAAATATTCTGCCATCAGAATGATGACAAGATGCCAGGGGCAAGCCGGTGTGGAAACCTCAATCTCAAGCTCAATCGTGGTATCAAGCGCAAAGAACGAGATGATGTTCCATCTAAAACCCCCGGCAAATCTGATCTAACTCAGAAGAGCAATAAACGTGATAAATGTGATGCCATCAGTTTAGAAAATGGTACAACTTCTGGCAGCACTAGCAGCACCAGTAACAGCAGTACATCATCCTGCAGAGTACCACTTGTAAATGGGCATGAGATGGCAGTGACTGAATCACCCTTCATGTCATTAGTGCGTCATGTTGCCACCAGCAACCCGAAGCAGTTTGTTCTCCCTTACACGCACACCGTCCCAATTGCCTTTCCAGGGGAATCTAAAAGTGAGTTTCTTGCTGGGTACTCTACTGGTTCAGATCCCTCTATTTCACTATTATTACTTTTTGTGTGGTAAACTTATTGATATTATTTAGTGGAATTTTCTTTATGGACAGTAAAGTGATTTGTTCTGGTTGGTAAGATGTAGATTATTTGTATACATTGCCCTATTCTCTGCTGGTCACTATAGTGTTGTTTAAATTATTTTCTAGGCATATTTCGCTATAATGGACGACGTGGTGCTGCACCAAAGAAAAAGTCTGCTCATGATAATGGAGTTGCACTGCCAGCCAAGCTTTGTTTTACTTGTAACAAGTAAGTTGTGTGGAGGCTCCAGCAAACTATCTTCTAAATTTGATTAATTTTTAATCGGATGCAAAATTTGTGATCTTTCATGTTCATACTTGAGTATACCTATTGAGCTACAATCACAATCATTCTAAAATATTTGTTCAAAATATAGAAAATTAAAATTTTTAGAAAATTATTTCTTCTGAAATATAAGTTTTATTAACAAATTAGTTTCATACATGTATGTACTTGAAAATTTTTCAGTTACATGGATGACCTCATTGAAATTTTCTTGCACATATTTCATTTGTAAATTCTAATATTATTTCAGAGGCTGCAGGAGCGGTGCATTGCTGTGCTGTGATTACTGCCCTCTGATGTTTCACCTGGACTGCCTGGACCCACCTCTCACCATCGCCCCCACGCAACGCTGGATGTGTCCTAATCATCCCGAGCAGTTCATGGTAATATGTCAGCCCTTATTTGTATGTATCTTATGATAAAACCTCCACAATTTCTTGGTAATATACAGACAAGCGTGTTGTTGCTTGTCTGTACTGTATGATGAAACCTTCACGAATTAATTCATTGGTTGTCTGTAATGTTTGATGAAGCATGCACAAGGACTGAGAACATGTGTGTGCAGTGGTACCTATTCTGCATATTTAATTTCTCATTTCATGTCAGCCTCAGGTTCAAGCTGCAAGTTGAGTGATAAGCACTCAAGTTTTCATGAGGCTGTCCATTTTTGCTAATTACTTTTATTTAGTCTGCATGGATCACCTTTTCATGGGGTGAGGCTTATTGAGAGAAAAATGTTAGGCTCATGTTCAGGTGTGGTTTATTGACAGAAAGTCCCCACTCCTTGACAAAAAGTGCACTTGTATGAAAACTTGATAAGTGGTATCCATTATATATTTTGGCAAGGACTTATTTAATGAACACTTCTAAGGTGAGATCGATTTAGTGCCATTTACTTCTGGTATCTAGTGAATGCAATGTATGAAAGCATGTAATATGGTAGCAGAGGTGAGGACCAGCTGTTTGGTGTGTGGGCAGAGGCACTGGGTGTGAATGGACCCAGGGGGGAAATGAGAGGATAGAGGACGAGCTTTTCAAACGTTATTGAGATGTGACGGCAACTGGAAAACCTGAGTAAAATGTGAGTCGCATCAGAGAGATAAACAAAAAATATTACTCAGTAGGTACTCACTTCAATGAGTGACAGAGCGCGCATTTTCTCGTCAACGAAAACGTGAGGTCACGGACGGACATACAGACAGACAGATGGACGGACATGACGAACACAATAGTAGTGCATTTTTTACATAAATGAGAAAATGCGCTAAAAATGATGGAGATGTACCTCAATAAGAAGGGTTTGATTGAGAGATTTAGATTGGTGCCATGAGGTTTGAGTAAACGTGTGTTTAGGGGATTACAAAGTTGTGGGTTTGTCCTAGTGAGGAGCTGCGTGTGATTGGAAGTAAAAAGGATATTTTGACTTTTTGAGGGCATGATTTAGAATGCATGTCGATTTTGTTAACTTGAATGTATCTTAGTCTCCTATAGGAAATTAGCAATGATATTCTTTTTTTTTCATTCTCCAGTACGATTTGAAGCACAAGTAACAAAATCATCTTTTATTGTGGATGATGCTCCGTCCGCCACATCTATTTATTATCGTCAGCATGATTGAAATTCGAACCTTATTAGGAAGAATCCTAGTTGTATTTATCCAGAAAGAAATTCAGGTATTTTTGCATCTGTTTTAATTCAGTTATTTGTGTTAAGGATGAGCATCGGGTCACTACATGCTGCGTGTCAGAGCGTGTACGTCTCTGGGAGCGTTGCCGGGGCTTGGTGGATCAGGCAGCAGTGCAGCGCAGCTTCTTCAACATAATCCACAGAAAACGGCCCCCGTCCAGATACAAGATCCGAAAGGCTCTCAGGAAAACTATTAGGGTGAGTCTTGCCGCTCATGGAAACAAATGGGCTGAGCTTTGCCTGCTCATGTAAATAATTGAATAAAATATTGCTAACTCAGCATTACAATTAGAGTGGATTAACTCGGAGGTACAAGGCGTGTTAAGGTCATTTATGGCAAGTCTCGTCTTTTTTAGATAATTAGTTTGATTTTTGACGTTCAGGGACGAAAAGAGAGTGCAATGTGTAACAGTTTCATTGGTTAATCTTTTTTTTAGGATTGTTGTTAATATCAGGGAACCTGATTCAAATTCGAGTTATGAGCAGCCTGGTAATTTAATTGCTGATGACACACGTTCCTTTGACTATGCCCTAAATTGTCACTTTAAAATGTCACTTGCAGGTACCTGAAGGAATTAAAGATGCATACGCTAATCCTGTACACTTGCTGCCTGCATTGCCACCTGCTCATCTGAGACCGCCCCCCATGCCAACATTTCCCCCTGAGTGTGTGACACCTGCGCACTACGAGTGCCTCAAAACTGAAGCATCGTTCCTCTCTGCTGATCGCAGCAGAGGCCGTAATTCTAGCAGGGAGTCTTCGTCTTCTGAGGTCCACTTGCCCATGTCTGTACCATGTAGTGTTAGTTCGGGTGTCACTCGCCCCTCTGCCACCAAAGAACTGTGTTCCAAAGATGATCTGGAACCTGTCATTAATAAAGCCGTGAGCAGTGATGGTAAGCCATCATTGTTACCCATTACTAACAGCAACTGCATAAGCAAAACCAATGATGAGACTTTAGATTCCTTGTCCGCAGTCTCAGCAACCTTTCTTGGTGACAGCTCCATGGTGCGTTTACCTGCGATGGCTGATACAGACTCAACTAGCTCGTTGACTTCAAATGGCTCAGGAAAGCCTGACGGGATTGACCCATTACGAGTCCATACTCAGAGAGCCAAATACTCAGAGAAGAAAGAAACGGAAGCTGATGCAGACACTACTTTGGATAGCTGCAGTCAAATTTCGGAGGACACGGAGTCACAGAAAGAAATTTCGACTGAAGATGAGCTAGAAGATAGTGGTAATCATGAATCAGAATTTCTTGAAAATAGAATTAAAGTTCAGCAAGAGAAAATCATCACTAATGATTTTCCGGATAAAGATTGCAGTAGTAAAAGGAAAGAAAAGTCATGGGAATCTCACAACAGCGATAAGCTATCCATCAATGAGTGTTTACTCAAAGAGTGTGATGTTAAAGAAAGACTGGGTAATAACGTGAAACGTTTCAAGTTGGACAAAAGCACCGATAGGTTAATTCAAACCAATGGTGATATTAATGATAAGTGGAATTCTCTCCTTGACGAGCCCTTTGAGAATAACAATAAAATTATTTCTAAAAGTAGAGATGATGCTAAGAGTGAAAATTCGGCCAGAAATAATTCTTCTGGTAAAACTTCTGATAACAACGACGATGAGGTATGCAGTGTAGTTCCCATAGAAGCGCGCCTACAGGACGGCGTTGAGATGGAAGTGGTAACGTCAGAGCCTGCAACTTTCACAGGCACCATCTCCTTGCAGACCGAAACTGAAATGAAGGTTACGAGAGGATCCTCTCCTGTCCATGCAAATTCCATTGATTATGATGCCAGCATGTTAAATTCCATGGTCATGGATAAAGCAACTTGCCTGGTGTCAAACAGCGTTGATGCTGTGACAAAGCACGCAGCAGCGGAATCTCTAGTATCTGTTCTCGATAATGAGACCAGCTGCTTAATTAAAAATCAAAACTCGAGTGCAGTGGATAAATTCCACTCAGAGACGGCCTCTAAATCTGCCGATTATCTGATGAAGCAAGCAATATTTGGGAGTAAATCGATTGGCTCACCGAACCCAGACTGGCCATCTCCAATAATGGATATCACGGATGACTCTAGTACGTCAGAGCGACCATTGATGGCTGACAGCGTGGACGATGCAATTAAGCAACGTCTTGATACTGATGATCACCATTACAACTCTAACAAATCTATGCTCAATCATAAGAATATTTTCGGATCTAATAAGACATACTACAATAATCATGTGGTCACCTCTCAATTTTCGCCAACTACAATTAATACATATTCCAACAAATCCTACCAAGTGCTGAATAATTGCCACAGTAAATTGTTTACACCCATCACCACCCACGCTGCCTTGTCAACACAAAGTTCTTTCTTCAATTCGTGTGCCAGTGAACCCTGTCTAATAGCGCCGCGTGGTGCGAGTAGTTCAAAAGCCTGTCCACCCAGGAGAGGTTTGAGCGCCTTCGCTGAACATTTATCAGCTCCTGCCGCGACTCAAAGCTTGGATTCGCTTCAAGAGCCGCTGACATCGCAAGCGGATGCTGCCTCGGCTGAAGATCATGTGCAGGTTATTGCTGATGCTGCGCCTACCCAGGAGGAAATTGATATTGTGAGTGAAACGTTTAATTTTCGTTTAGATCTTAACTTACCTTGTTAAAGTACTTAGCTCCTTTTCAAAATGTTGCCTGACCTTTTATTATATTGCAAGTCATAAATCCCTTGAGCATTCAATCGACTTTTCTTTGTGATTTTAATTGTTAACATGAATCCAGGATTTTTGGATGTAATGAAAACTTCTTTGTCAGATTCGGCATTTCCCATCACATTTTTCATGTACTTTGTTTGCTTTTAAACGCAAAGAAAATTCCAAGTAAATTAGTTCCTTATGAACTCTGTGACACAATGAGCAAGGCAACACAGTAAACCCAGGCGCACTGAAGATTTAAATTTTTATCTTCCTTCAATCTCGTAACCACAACAACCACATTTTGTCACTCAGTGTTTAGAGGAGACGGGTAGTTTTCAGGTGGCCGATGAATGGCCAGCGGCCGGATAGAGCTTATAGGCTCTAAGCGACCGCTGGCCATCTTTTTCCGCTTGTGTCTCCCTGAGGTCCCACCCATCCCACTTATCAGTTCTTGGCCCACAGCCGAAGGTTTTAGTCGGGTTGTCTACACATTCCTTGTTGCCTGGCCCTTTGAATAATGACCAACTAGTGACAACTCTTTCATTAATATACGGAAATTTTAGTGCCCGAAAGTTTTAAGTTCATTTATCGACAACTATGTAGGTGTCCGCTTCTGAAATGCAAGATATACTTAGCAATAGAGAAGAAATGGTAAACACTCGTACGTCGCGAAAACAGTATAAAAATTGTACGCTTCATGAGCGTATATGCACTAAATTTTCATTCTCGATTACATTTGTAATACGAAGTTTACGTTAGTTATGTTGACGTCCACAGTTTGATATTAAATGGCTGCAATATCATTCGAAATTTTAGACTTCCATCTTTTATGTATTGGAAGGATTCAGTCATAGCGCAAAGACTTGGGAAAAATCCCTTAGGAGAAAATTTTGCCGTTGTGGAGTGCGGTAAAGCGGTCTCGTAAGCAGACTAAAGATATAAGTATTTTTATTTGCTTATCCTATGAATGACTTATGAGTTTCCCTCGTCCAAGCCCGAGCGAGGTTCTGACACCTTGTTGACTCTTGTTGCAGTGGCTATCGAGCATCGTGAGCTTCCAATCCAGCGTGGCAAAAATGATGATCAAGTCTAAAGATTCTATGGACGTTACTCCCTTGACTTCCTGTGAATCATTGACCACTTCTATCCCTGCTCCAACTACCGTGTCAGTTGCTCACTGTTCTTCCGTCCCAACGTCGAGTACAACCCCAACACCATCCCTGGTCACATCCCCATCGTGTGTATCCACCGCATCGCCATGCATCTCGTCCACATCAACGTCGCATTCAGGTGACACCGTCCCGTGTTTGCCGAAGCCAAGTTCATTATCCCTGACGTCTCTACCGTCGACGCCCCGGGCGGGAAGAAAGCAGGTGCTCATCCCCCGCACGAGCCCTACAGGCAGCTTTTCATCCTCCCCTCCCTCCTACCTCCCCTCTTTTGGATCCTCCCAGCACCCCAAGTCTGGTCACTCCACGTCGAGTGCAACTCCAGCAACGCCTGCCAAGACCTATATTGCAAGGTCAGCAATAACCGCTGTTTTACATTCATTCTAAGGATACAAGATTTTTAACAAGTTTAATATTTTAATTCGTGATAGTGTGCATTTTCCTTAAAGTATCTTTGTGTTTAAGAACATACGTTGATGTAGAATTTTAAACTTCGGTAACTCATTCTTTGATTGGTGTCGGTAAAATGAGTTTTTCCGCTCAAACAATTGCCTTTCATTTCCGAAATGATGGGATCCAAAGTTTTATTAGCTTTAGTTTATCATTTCTATTACTATATATCCCTCACTACCTAGTCAAATTTAAACACTAAACACTCTTTTTGTTTGCAGGGTATCGTCTTCAACAGCGAACAATATTCCCGAGAGTAGAGCTCTGTGTCTGTCAGAGCTGCTGCACGAAAGTCTGCAGGCTCTCCAGCAAAAACTTCACTCTGCTCACGCTAAAAACCACAGTCAGTTGTATTCTCGCTTTTAGAATGTAAACAAGTTTTAAAACTTTAACTCGACTCGACAAACAAATTGCTATTTTGGTTCTCTTGTCACGTCATGAGGTGTGCGTCGATCAGGAAGGCCACAAAAGGCACTGGTGCAGGGACGACTTGTGGTTTCGTCTGTGAACTGTCGAGGATAGGCACTTCAGCTGGACTGATGTGTCTTACTTATCCCTCACACGCTCACTACCTTAGTCACGTAACCCGATCCTCAGGTAGAGCTTAATATAATGAGTTCAATATCATAGTTTGTAGTTAATTTACAACCTGTGACACAAAGAAATTATAGGATTGTTAGTTAATGAAACGCCTAATAGTCTCATAGAAAAAACTTCCCACTCCTGTTGTGTATTGATGGGAACTAATGTTTAGCATCTTCGATAAGTCAACGCGTAGGCCTAATTCCTTTTTTTTCCACAGCACACAATTTACATTTCATGTGGAATAACATAAAGAGTGAACCAACGGGTCAAGTTATTGACATGGAAAACTTCACTCATCACAAATGTCGCGTGATTAGTTGATAATGAAATCATCTAAGAGTACAGTGGTTCAACAGTAATTAGTGATCTGTTGCCGTATCAGGAAGGAGGGGCTCCTGTGAAATCTCCTTAGGTGATAAGTAATTTTTGTGTCGCTAATCCAACATGGAAAAATTGTCTGAAGTTTCGTGCCCGACCAATGGCCCTTTAAAAATGTTGTTCAATTTTTGTTTTATCTTACTGTCATTAAAATTTTGTATTGAAATTGTCGTATGTTAGTTCAACGTATTTAGTTTGCTATTGATGAACCGATTGGGAGTATCATATCATAAATATTTGTAACATCAGGTGAGCTGTTGTCTGCTGACCGAACTCTCATCGAGCTGCTGGCTATGCAGCGACTGGAGCAGCTTCAGCAGCCCCCTGCGCCACTCCCCGCCCCTCCTCTGCACATCGCCCCTTCCCTACCTGCCCACGCCCTCCTCTGCCCCCTCATTGAACCCCCTGACCTCAATCCGGTGGGTTACCTTCTGCTCTTCTGTCATAAATAAATTTTTATTATAAAATTCTTAAATTAATTAGAATGACGTACACTAATGCATTTGTCGAGGAAAAACTGAGGAAATTTGGAAAAGAAAAAGATGTAGAATAGAATAGAATAGAAGTGTCGGCGTTGAATAAATAGGCCCATGGCCTGTTGCCGATTCTTGAACTTTTCGTGACTTGATTCACAAGGGATCCGGCCTTTGGAACCCGATCTTTCCATAGCTGACGATTGATTGAGATAGCTGCTGGACTTATTGCCTGG